CTATGGGAACACGGTAAGAAGTTGTTAAATGTGGACTCGACTAGAATTCAACAGACTATGCTTGGTTGACAAATCCTGCATTTTAAAGTCAAAGTAGCCATTGGACAGCTAGCCTTAGAGCAAAAATGATTTGTTTTTAACTCTCTCTCCTAATTTACATAAACATATAACAACGAAGCATCATCTCTTTAAGAAAGTGCACCATTTTTTGGTGGACTGGTGAACTCTTCTTGAGTGGACTGAAAAGACCCCATTCACAGGGCGCGACGGTGGGTGGTAGTACTGTCGCTACTTCAAAGTGCGCGATGAGGGAGCAAATGCCCTAGCTCGACTGTTGCAACCGCTGCCACCCTATTAGTGCAGCATACGGCATACGTGACGTCTTCGCTCTCTTGCCAGCGACGTTCCATCGCGTTTTCCCTCTCCTCACAGCGCTGTGTCTCTCCGTGATACCGTGGTCAACCTCACGAGAAAACTTTCAGTGCTTTTATATTGATTTTTGCTTTTTTCCTCCTCCTCGCATTTTTTGTTTCACTTTCGGAAGGCCACCATTCGAGCTGCGATTCCGTTGATTTACTTATCGTTGTCATTTTTGCTAAGGCTAGCTGTCCAATGGCTACTTTGACTTTAAAATGCAGGAATTTGTCAACCAAGCATAGTCTGTTGAATTCTAGTCGAGTCCCACATTTAACAACTTCTTACCGTGTTCCCATCGGCGAAACGAGATAGAGGGTGGTGTCACCTCGCCGAGTCGAATTGAACGAGACCACGGCCTGTACATGTTCCAGATATCTGACTTCGGTGGCTGTACCCAAACAGGCGTCCGTGTCCAGTTCCAGAATCAAATTGCCGTCCTCCGGGATTTCACTGAAAGATGGAGCCATTCTTCTGATAGAGCACCTCTAAGACGTATTGTTCATTTATCTACCCATCTATTTTTAATAGTGGGTAAGACACCAGCACAGGAGAACGAGTATCCCGGTTGCTTGACGCGAAAAAACCAGAATAATAAAAAAAATTGTGTGATTTGCTTTGCACTTATGGTTAGCACTCACTGCATTTTATGAGTACGTTCTACGTGTGAGATACCGTATTCTAAAGTAAACAGAGAGCATGAAATTAACATTATTTTTGTGTGGAGCTGCTAATCCATTATGGTACCGCGAATTATTCGAACAATTTGTGACATTCGGCAAGTATTTATTGCAGCACCTTTTTGACAGTAATATCATGGAGTGGCGATGTACCCTCCCTTTCAAAAAGCGAGAAAGTGTCGGGTGCAGACCATGCACCACAAGTGACGACGGCCTTCACAAAATGTTAATGTTTTCTGCCAATGAAATGATTAGCCTGTTGCAGTTGTATTCTATCATTGTCACTAATTACAACTATCATTTACCAGAAATCAGCTATCACTATGAACAACTTCTAACCAGATTTACTTGGAGGCCGTCGTCAGTTGTGGTGTTTGGTCTGCACCACTTTCTCGCTTTTTGAAGGGGAGGTTAGAGTTTTAGTCGTGGTATTTTCCATGGAAGATATCTTCGTCCTTCGCAAACTGTTTTTTTGAAACCTCATCAGTTTTGCTTTCTTAATTAATCGGTGTAGGTTATTTTAAAAATAAAGGATAAAGCATTTGCCGTTGATCAATCCCTTTTTGGGATGCGGCACGCATTCTACTTCCATTTGTACATTCGTAGTGGCGTTTGAATGCGATGTGGCCTATACAATGACTTGCGGGGGCCAGCCGATGTACAAGTCAGTGTTTTTTATCCTCCCAGACAAGTCTGGTACCACTTTTACCCTTATTAGGTTAAACCGTTACTAATATTACGATGATAACGAATAATTGAAATTAAACCTTTACCACCATCCACGAAATCAGAGAAAAGATCAGAAGCTAAATAGGATAGCTAATTTTTTTCTATTTTCGAGCTCTCTCCCTTGATGGCTCGCCGTTCCGAGTGGGCCAGCTGTCTTTCCGATAATAACGGAGTACCAATCTCTAGGGCAAAAGTATTCGGTTCCATATTCGGTTAGCTGATAGAATGGGAAATGAAGCAATGGGGAACATTCATATTCATCCTCAGCATATGAAAATTTGTGGGTAAACAAATTAAGGGAAATTGCAGATTTCGTAGCTTGCAGCTCAATAGCCAGAGGGGTTGAAAAGTGTACGCACTTTCCTCCATTGCTTAATAACTAGGGGAACTCACTGTGGTGTGTCGATGGTGCCCGCAGTGCAGTGGTAACGTGGTGGAGCCGTTTTCCATACCATTGCAAGCATCACCTGTAAATATAAATTTGAGATAGATCGGAAAATTATTTCCTTTGATTTTGTTATAGGCAGCTGAATAAAAAAGTGTAAAGCACTTTCTATATTGAAATTCTGGGTGGAGAAACTTAGGTAAGTGCTTAGCAACTTAAGCACGTAGGGAACGTAGCATTAGGCCTCCCTCAACGGGGCTCCCCCGTCTCTTGTCATCTTCTAAAGAAGTTACTAACCATTGAGAAGAGCCATAATGGTCCAAATGGCTCTGCTCTAATGTGCATGTAACTTTAAGTGTTCGTAGAGCTATGATTGAACTTGCAACTAAGATTGTCACAAGTTTTTTAGCCTTTCCCTCAGCGCAATTTTGAGGGTCTGGTTCTTTGGCTCCCAAAAATTCCATTATTTTAGGTAATGAAGAAATCGATGAAGTTTGCATATTGACGACATGGCCAAAAGG